GTTCTCTTCACAAAGTTTTCCTCACCAGTCTTTTCCCAGGCTCCAGCCCACCCTGCTGCCGCCTCTACCCAGAGATCAAGGAGGGCGGCTGCCACTGCAATTTTTGCGTTGGCCCTTTAAATGTCTCTTTGCATCCCCAGCCACCTGTCTCTGGCAGAGAGCGCCCCTAAGCTTTTCAGGGTTGCGTTTTGTCTGTATTTTCTTGGTTTTAGCTGCTGTAGTTTAGGGGTCCCTGCGTATGATTCAGACCCCGTTCTTCTCGGGGGGAATCTAACTGGCCGTTTCTATGTCCCTCTGGTGCCAGTGCCCATGGGCACCCAGCCCACCCTCTAGAGCCTCCACCGCACTTCTCACCCGTTGGGATGTGTGAGAGTCGAATCCACTGTCTGTCCGCAGCTCCAAGGCTCCTCTCCCACTATCGTTCCATTGTTTTCCAGGTGATTACTCCATTATTTAGTTGCAATTCCAGTTTGGTCTTGGGAGGAGGAGGTCAGCGTGACTCCCTTTCACTCCTCCGCCATCTTTTTCTCCTCCTCTTTCTTAATGCATTGCAGCCATCCCTCTATGACCATTTGAATGGGGTCTCCCTTATTCCTTCTAATGCCTGTCTGTCCCTGGTAGGTGTAAACTTTGCACCCCTGAGAGCACTTCTAACTCACCAAATATACCCTCCACCACTACCCAGGTGGCTCTGCAGGCAGTGGGTACAGAATTAACATCAGGCAGCCTTGAGTGAAATGACTTACTGAATCATTGTGGCCATGTTACTTAACCTCTTTGGTCCTCAGATTTCCCACCTGTAAGACAGAAAATACCCCTGACCTCATGCTTACAAGGATTTGGGGAACACTACAGTGCCTGGTGTAATGTGCACTAAATCAACAGCTCATATTTCTGTTTGTAAAGATTTAGAGCTCAAATATCTAAACATTGTATATATATTTACATATATTTCCAGAAAAACTTGCTAAGAGGTTTATCTGCATGCGTCAGCTTTGTTTCAGAAGTTTAAAGGAATAAATCACCCAAGCTGCCCACAACTGGTCATACAATTGATAGCTATTGTCTCACTGTCTGAGATTGTTATAGTTTTGTCCTTTCTTCCACTCTGAGTTATGTTTTAAAAAAATATACTTTGTTTAAAGCTTAGCTTCCACTGTTCTCCCCACTCATTCTCCCAGCATAGTTGTTTGATTTTCATATATGAGTGACGGTCCCTCTCATTACCAATACAAAAATATCACTCAGGATGCTTTCTAAAAAGTAAGTATGGAGGTTCACATTTCACACCTGGAGGTACTCTACACTGAGGCCTCAGATGGGAATTCTCTATCAGTTAGCTATAGCTGCATGACAAACTGCCCCCAAAATATATTAGCTTAGAAGAGTAAGATTTATTTATATGTCTGTGTGTTAGTTGGGTGGTTTTTCAGGTCTGGGCCAGCTATGGCTGATCTCAGCTGGACTCACAGATCTGAGGTCAGCTCTTGGGTTGGTTGGTCCAGGAAGGCCTTGCTAACATGTATGGAGGTTGGTTGGCACTTGGCTGATGGCTGAGGCAATGGGACAACTAGGTCATGTGCCTTTCATCCTCCTGTAAGTTAGCTCAGGTTTGTTCATATGGTGGTCACAGGTACAAGAGAGCAAGCAGAAGCCTAGGCTCACAGATGTCATGACATTACATCTGACATATTATTTAGACCAAAGCAAGTCACAAGACTAGTCCAGATTCAACAGGAAGGGAGATCAACTCTACCTCTTGGCAGGAGGAGCTGTAAAGCCAAAAGAAGGGTGTGAATAGGAGGAGGGGTAAAGGGTTGTGGGTAATTTTAGAATCAGTTACTACAGGGTCTTTTCTCAGGTTCAGGGAATAGAGGTGACCTATTTTGGATTATCAGGATAAATGGGGTTCCAGTTCCTACTGATTGCAGCAGAGTACCAACTTTCCTCAGGACAGAGACCCTGCAGTGGCTGGCTTCTCAAACAGAGTCAGCTACCAGCTTACACTCAGCTTCTGTCTGGGGAAATGGGAGGAAGCCTCTTATCCTACAGACTCCAGACCTACCCTTTACCTATTCCCACAGGATCCCACAACCCACTCTGTCTGGGCCAATTGTTTGTCTTTCCCTTCCTTCATAGCTCCTTCTCTCTCCCCTCCCTTTTTCCTTCTTCCCCTCCCTATTCTCCATCCTGGGCTCATTCAACCCTAACCTCCCCCTTTAACATCAAGTTGAAATGCCACCTCTTCCTAGGAGCCTTCCCTGACCACTCTCACCCATAACCACTTCTTTCTTTACCAATACACAATCAGTGCTGCACATTTTAATACCTAAGTTTTTTGGGCTACCCATGCATGAAGCTCTTAGCAGGTGCCATGAATTTTAATCTTCCTAATGCTTGAGTAGGTACTATTATTATCATCACCATTTTACAAATGGGCAGCTGGGCTGAGCCAGTGACTTTCCAAAGCTCTTGGAACTGGTGGTAAGGGGTGGATTCTGTTTTCAAAGCCAAGCCTGTCCTACTCCAAAACCCACCCTGTGGCAAAAGCTGTAGGTGCCTTCTCCACCCATGTGCCTTCATGCTTGCAACTTCAGTGCATGCAGCTGGCCTGCCTTCCAGCTGCCAGTGCCTGCGTTTCTTTGCCTGACCGCTTTCTCAGTGAGGTTTATTTACCCACGTGGCAGGCTCAAGAGCTGAAGGATTAACTTCCTGTGGGAGCAGTGCTCAACAAACAACTGATAAGAGTGGCTTTTAGATACCCCAGGGTGGGGTAACTAAATCCCTGTCTACATTGGCTCTTGGAGTTCACTTGGCAGAACTGGGGTCCAGTTGCCCACAGTGATAAACACACACCTTTAGTGATGACACACCTTTATTGGCTCCTTTGCCCTCCTTGCCACACTCCTCCCTCACCTACCGGCATTTCCTGGCAGCACCCCTGAGACTATTTCTCAGGGTCTGTTTCTGGGTGGGTGGCTCAAACGAAGATACACCTCCTAACACCTTGGCTATTTTGCCCTTCCTTTTCCCAATTGTCTTTTATTAAGTTGTAAGCTCCTTGAAGCTAGAGAAACTCATACTTCTCTTGCTTTTTCCATAGCACTTAACCATACTCAGAACCTTAGATACTCTATAAATACTAATCACAACCACTTATTGATTCATGGATATTTCCAGATTACAGCTATCAATCCAGGAGTCAATATCTATCCTCTCTTCCTTGCAGACAGCTCAGCTCCTGTTTAAGATGCTGGTAAAATCTATGACAACTTATAAATATTCCCAAGCACCCGTTCTTTTCTGAATCATTCAAGCAACTGCCCTGCTGAGTATATGGGCCTTTGACTGCGCTGGGGACACATGCAAGCTTGTTCCTCCTGAGGGTCTTTGAAAATGCTTTTGGGGCTCCATGGACTAATGTGACCCTAACAAGATCCCAATAAAAATCTGAAGTAATCTAATTTTTATTAGTTGTTATCTTCTACTCACTCATTAGAGAGCATGTAGTCCCTACCAGTTGTACTGTGTCCAGTACTTGTATGTAGGACAGAATTGGACTAGACTGGATAAGCTGATAGCTGGGCTCCCTTCCAGCTCACAGCTGTGAATTCTCTCCTGAGTGCTACATGATGTCCAAGCTCTCAGGAGGCCAGACTCGAGGAGATTTTGAGAACAGGGACAGTGGTTCTGCTATGTACCACATACCTAACGGACACTGTTTCAGTTAATTTATCCTGTGAGGCAGGGTAATTACCTTCATTCCTCTACTTTAGAGATGAGGAAACTGAGGCTCAGTGAGGTTAAGTAGCTCACCCAAGATAAGATGGCACTGGCCATAGCTCTTCTCTCAGTATTGACAGAGGCACAGGAGCACAGGTGGAAATGTGCGATGAGACTCAGAACTGACATGCTATCATTCTGGTCTCATAACACTGGTTAAGTCTACATCCAGTGGTTGGGAGTTCTTCTGCCTCTAGTGGGAGGAACTAAAAAATTCTATGACAAATGTGGGGCATACAGGGAGAAGGGGAGAATTGGAGCCAATAACTTTATCTATGAGGAAGAAAAAAATCAACACAAGGGAATGAATGGCTGATGGGAAACATGTGAGGAAGACTTTGGGGAGCAGGGTATGTGGAAATAGAATGAGGGAAAAAGCTACTTCCCTCTCTCCTTACCCTACAGCCACCAAGATCCTGTCTTAGAAAATGAATGACTTCTAATACCAAGACTGTATCAGTGGAGAATTAATCAACTGAATTAATCTGTGCAGGAGAAAGCAGGGGAAAGGTTCTGGATGGTCAGAATCTGAACTTCAGGAGATGGAGCTATTCAAATCTTTGGGCCAACCAGTAGACTTACCTGGAAATCTTTTCTTTGCCATTTTTTTGGGAGAGCTGAAGAAGGAAAGCTAGAAAGAGTTGAAAAGATTCCAATAGAAATATCCCAGTTATATTATAAACTTAGTATATAAGACAACTGTGAGACATTTAGGGAAAAAATAATGAATTCAATTGAATGTTGCTGTCATATATTTCCACTTTTTCCTGAGTTCAGAAGAATCCTTGCTCCTTTGAAGTTAGGTATGACCATGTGACTTTCTCATGGTCAACAAAATGAGAATATAAGTGGAGGGTATCATTTTCGACAGAAGCTCAGAAAGACAGTGTATAATTTACCACGGCTCATTCCCACTGTGCTGTACTCATGCAAGTGTGTATTTACAGGGAATCTCCATAAACTTAAGTCTCAAAGTGAATACAAGAGACAGTGCTCACCTGATGACGTGTACTGAAGATGAAGCATGAGAGAGGTCAACCTGTCAGCTAATTCCTGACCCTCAGAAACTAAGTGAGATATAATTGTTTAAACTGCGATGTTTAGGGTTTATTTGTTATGCAGCAATAGATAACTAATACACCGACAAAATTTAATTTCCATTTTAAGCAAAATTGTCCATTCTTTTCTATAAATATATACTGAGATATTTGGCATGATATTCATTTAAGGGGAATGAAAGTCACTTCCGGGTGGTGAACTTTGGGTCATTATTCTTGTGTTTGTCCTTTTTTATATTCTTCAATTACTTTTTATAACAATCATGTATCATTCAACTTGAAAAACAAAATAATGACTCTGAGCCTGGGTCTAGGTACAGAACGTGTCATTTCCCGGGCAGCAGAGCAAGGAGGTGTCTTTATAGGAAGCAGGAGCACCACTCCTTCAGGCAGTTAGAACTCTCCTGAGCCTCACACTCTGTGGCACCACAACAACAAATGAGCCACCTCTGAAACTCAGCTTCATTCTTGTGCATCAGAAGGAACTGTCCCAACAGCGTGTAGGCCTGTGGGGAGGGGATGGGGCAGGGAGGAAAATGGGAAAGGTTATAATAAACTTGCTTAGATACACTGTTCTTTCCCCAACACAAGGACCCATGTGAAAATCGAAGAAAGGGCAGATTAGATTCGAGGGAGACTGGCAGTCCTGAAAATCCTGAGTGGGTGATGGGTATTTGGGGACAGGCCCTTGGTGGAATGTTAGGCCAAGTTAAATGTCCATCCCTTGGGGCAGGGTTGGAGGCTGTGCAGTGCAGTGTTGAGCCTGGCCCTCTCAACATTAATGAGCAGCACTTGAATCATCTGGAATCTTGTTAAAAGGCAGGCTCTGACTCAGTAAGTCCCGGGTGGGACCTGAGAGCCTGCATTTCTAACACACTCCTGGCTGACAGTTGTCCAAGGACAACATTTTGAGTAGCAAGAGCCTAGCATACCTCTGATGCTCCCTCCAGGTCTCTGATCTTGTATTTCTCTCTTTTACACACACACACGCGGCATTAGACATCTCCATTCCATTAGTTTCTCAAGTATTCTAGCAAACAGTTTCTAGCCCATGGCACTGTTGACATTTTGGATAATCATGTGTTGGGGTAGAGGGCGGTCACCCTGTGCATTACAGAAAGTTTGGCAGCATCCCTGGCCTCTACCCACTAGATGCCAGTAGCACACCCCCAAGTCCTCCAAATTGTGACACTCATAACCATCTCCAGACATTGTCATGGGACTAGAAGATAAAGGGCATCTTAGCACTGTTTTGTTTCTGTGTGAGAACCCACAGAACCTGGGCCTCAGTTTTTGCATCTTTTGAAGACATATAGTATGCTTTGCTCCATTCCACAAATTGAATTGAGTTCAATGTGAGAGCATTAGAATAGTGTAAATTCCTTTATTATCCTGGATACATAGCCCTGTGGATAGAGCAGAAGGCATAAAACACACCTATCTTTCCCTTCTGAAGAGCCTCTGAGGATGAAAAACACATATAAAATAAAGATTCCAGGATTCCTAGTTTATGGCATTCTTAGTTTTCTAACTACTTGCTCCACAACATTTCATTTCTTTTTACAATTTAATCACACTCTAATGAGGAGCAAGGACCACAGGGAGAGAGGGACATCTAAGATCATATGACCACAGATTGAGCCAGCCACAAAACAGTGAAGCCTGGACACTTGAGGTCATGTTAAATGCCCACCTCTCAGATTGGTTTTGGGGGCTCTCCAGCCTGGAAAGGATGAGAACCAGTGTCCATACAAGCTCTGGGCCATCTCCAGGAAAACCTACTGGTATCTGTTTAACATTCAGTTCTATGAAACAAAGAAAATTTCATCTTGACCAAAGGGGACATATTGTTTTAAAGAAAAATTTAAAAAAAGCTGAATCCCAGTCATAAAATATACCTGAGATTTGGAGTTTGGGGTTTCTTATTTTGAGTCATTGTCCAGTTGGTGAAAAGAGAAAAAAGTCAGGATTCCATAGACATTTAAAACTGCTGTTTTAATCTTCCTAAAAAGCAGCATAGTTGCTTAGAATGACCTTATTTTATTTTATAAGTATTCTTGAATTATCAAATTAGGTAGCCAGCCCTCATCTGCGCTAGTTAGAATCTACCCCAATGATGGATTTTTATTTACTGAGATTTTTTAATTGAAGGTTTTAAAAATTAAAATTTATTGAATGTTAATTGAACTAATGGCTACAGTAGGTGTGGGAAGTGCCAATGTGAATATAACAGGATCATGAAACAGAGCTTTGTCCAAGGAGAGGGGACGTTGATGATGATGATGATGATGATGATGATGATGATGATAGTAAGTGGCACTTCTGGATACCTTTGGTGGGCTCCAGGCCCCTGGCACATTTTAATCCTGACCCTCATGTGTGCCCCATCCCATTCTCCAGATAGTCATTAAGAATGAGAAGGTTATGACTTCTGTCTTCATCAGCCCCATTTTTGTACATCCCAACCATGCACAGTCTGGCCAGGCATCTATAGAGTCTTCCTGCCATTTTGGAGGCCTTGCTGCTGGCATCTGCTGGTCTGGTATCAAAGCCTGCATGTCCCCACTGGGCTCAGCAGCCAGGAAGCCAGGGAATGCATGGTACGCAGAGCCAGAGGCAAACTTTCCAGGAATGCTGGAGGAAGAAGGGCCTCATCTTGCAGCCTCCAGAGCCAAGTTGCAACCTGACGCTCCCTACTTCATTTTCTCCCTAGTCTCACACCACTCCCTTCCATTGGTGGGGAGGGAAAGTTAGCTTGTTTCACTCTGCTCCCAAGGGAAGTTAGCTCTGCCCGAAGCCCACTTGGTTTCTCTGTTGGCCCCAGAAAGCCAGACCCTAACCCTGGAGAAGAGAAACTACCCCTCTCTGTCCTTGAACCAAAGTTCAGAAAAATCTGGTTGTGGGAACGGTGATGTAGAGAAACAGAAACCCTGAGCAGATGTTCCCATGCTCCCTGACCTCGGACAGTAGCAATCTTGAAGCCAGGAATGTTCATTATTTCCTGTGGCAGCGGTGCCCACATGGCTTGATTGTGGCACACTTCCCCTCAAGTACAAGACCAAACAGTGAGCAGGTCTGAACAACTCTCCAGTTTGCTGTACCAATTACTTGCTAAACAGTAGCAATATTTTCATCTGCACGAGGGTTGGGGTTCCTTTGTGTGTGACCCAGGCAGTCACACCGGGCCCTTCACTCAGAAGGCCCCATTTGGTTTAATGCTCTGTTGCTGCCATCTTGAAATTCTTAATACATTTAAACAAGAGGCCTCACATCTTCATTTTGCACTGGGCCAGGCCCAAAAATTAGGTAGCCAGCCCTCATCTGCGCTAGTTAGAATTTTCAGTCTTCACTATGATGTCTGACTTTTCAAACAGCAATACAGGGGCTCAGCCCTCTCATTCTCAAGCTTCTATGGTCCCTCTCCCAAAGCTTCCAGCTCCTCAGCACCTGCTGTGAGTGCACTTTACTTCACCATAAGACTTCACTGTGTCATGAACAACTTTCTCTCTTTTTCTCTAACTTGCAATTTTCAACTTTTTTTCATCTCATGGTGCACCTAAACTATTACTAAAATTCTGTGGCACACCAAAAAAATATATTTTTTGCTAATCTGACAAAAAAAATAGGTATAATTTTGATTTATTCACACCAGACTGCTATTGTTGTATTGGCTGTTGTCATTTCTTTATTTGGTAATCTAAGGGAAAAGAGGTCAGTGCCCCTGACTAAATAGTCAGGTATTGCATGTTTTAAAAATTCTTGAGGCATACCGGTTGAAAATTGTTGTTCTACATTGGCTCTTAAGCCTTCACAGCCTCTATAGCCAATTGACAAACTGGCAAATCCAATTTAAAACTCCTTGTCTTTAGTGTGAATGCTCAATCCAGCGGAGGACTGGCCCCTTCGTCTTTCTCTTCCCTGTCTCCTTGGGGCAAATTTATGCTAAAAAAATTACTTATCTGAAATTTAACTGGACATCCTTATTTTATCTGGCAATCCTATACAGGGTAACCCAAAATTCAGGTGATTGCCTGTCCCAGAGCTTGTCTCCCAGATTCAAATTTTGTCTCTCTTACTTTGAGTGATCTTGAGTGAATCATGTGGCTGCTCTGTGCCTCAGTTTCCCCATCTATAAAATGGAAATGGATATCCCTTATTGGATTTTTTTGATGGTAAATGAAAGAAACATATGTGATGCACTTAGAACAGTGCCTGACATGTAACAAACACCCTATGCTAGGTTTGTTATTAGAAGAGATTTGGAGAGCCGGTGGTACCCATAACATTTATTCAGCTCTGACCTTCCAAGCATCTTTCAGGAAGAAAATTTAGGTTCAAGAATATGACTTTTATAGTGTCTTCAAAGAGCCATATCAGAGTCTCTGGGATGTTGGAATAACTCCAGATTATCCCTAGAGAAATGCATTTTTCCTCACGGGGGTACTGCCCACTCTGAATTTACCAACTGCCTTAGAAAGTCATTCTCTCCTGGGAGGGATTTTCATAGGGAAAGGGAGAGTACGAAGAACATAGAATCAACTTCTGCCTTTGAGGAGGTGTGGAAGTACACCAACGGCAAACTGTGCTTCTAACCTATTGAGTGTGTTTCTGAGTCCACATATGGAAAAATAGTCAATGGTATGGATGTCACGGCAAGGGGTACCACTGAATACTCAAAGTCTTCAGAAACAGATGCCTATTAGGCTGGGGTGGGTGAGTAGACTTACTTCCCAGAGGAGGCAGGCTGTGAGGGGGGGCCTTGAAGTAATTAGGAATCCATTTCGAAAGGGACCTCCAGTCTGCAGGAGGGAGGCCACATATATGTTTGTGGATCATGGATGGTCTGGTTAGAGTATGGGGATGGGTGCATTGAGGGACCGAAGAATATGAGACAGAGTTAGAGCTAGGCTGTGGAAAGCCTTAAGTGTTTTGTGCATAATGTATTTTCCTTTCTCAGTAATTCCTTTCTCCCTTGCAGCCCTTCCACCATTAAATCTGAACTAATGCTGTCCAGTAGAAACCTAATGTGAACTAGCCACATATATAATTTTTGATTTTGTAGTAGCTACACAAAAGGGGAAATTAAACAGGTGACATTAATAATGTACTAATGTTTTATTTTCTCTCATGTTTCTAAAATATCATTTCAAGATGTAATCGATAATATTATAACCAAAATTATTGATGAGATAATTTGAATTTTTTGTTCTAAGTCTTTAAAATTGCTGTGTGAATTTCATATTTTGAGCACATCTCAATTCAGACAGATGCTCACTAATATGAGTGGCCAGTGGCCACCATGGTCCTCAGGCCAAAGCTGACTGCTCCAGGGAAGGGAAGGCATGAAATCACCCAGAGAGAATGGAGCAAAGTGTTTGACTCTTGGGCTCCTGAAGAGACTGGGGTGAATCCATAGGAGGTGGTCTGAGCTCCAGGGTCCTGGTGTCTTGGGAGAGTGCTGATAGCCAGGGAAGTCGTACTGAGGGCAGCCTCTTGGTCTGCATTTCAGAAGGTCCTCCAGGTGCAGAAAGAGCCAGTGCCCATGAGACAAGGCCAAGAAAGCTGTCATGACTAAAACCCTGACTCTCGGCAGCAAGTTTATGGATGCTTGAAAATTTCTCAGTCGTCTAGTCCTTTGTTTTAAATGTGCCTATCACCCCACCTACAACCTTCATTAAAAACACAGTTAAGCTGGAAAAAGCAAAACTACAGGGACAGAAAACACATCAGTGGTGATCAGGGAATGAGGGAGGAAAATACGAAGATCATGGGGGGACATTGTCGTGTGACTTTTATTTTATGTCTTGATCGTGGTAGTGGCTACATGAGTGCATGCACCTGTCAAAACTTGAAGAACTGTGTACAAAAAAGTTGAAATTTACTGTATGTAAATAAATTAGTTTTAAAATGATGAATATGGCCGACCAACAACAAAATCTCACAATTATGGAAACACTAAATCAATGGCAGTAGAAGCTAGAATACTGGTTACCTCTGGGAGTGGGGGATGGCATTGATCTGGAAGAGACACAAGAGAGCCATCTGGAATTCTGGAGGTATCTGACCATTGGATTCAGGCAGTGGGTCCATGGATGTATAAATAGCTGTCAAAATTCTTGGAGCAAACCCTCATATCAATGTAAGTATGCTATACCAAAATGAAAAGTAAAAGGGAATATTGTTTTTTAAGAACTTTAATTTAAAATGTCTCTCTTGGTCAGATTTGCCTACTTTATTACATGCTTGGGAGTGGTCCTATCTCCTTTATCTGAGAGGAAAGAATCAAATGTACCTCAATCATGCAGCTCCAACTTCCTAACAATACCACCTATTAGATAATAAATTGGCTACTAGATTGGGGTGATATTCATAATATTTAACATCTGGTGCCAAGCAGTGTGTCAATCAGAAAATCATAGGTACAGTAGTTCAGATGCCTCCTGGAAGCAGCTTCGTACTGCGCCAGTGCAAACCACACTGATTATTAGCCATGCACGCAGCAGTTCCTAGTCTTGTTGGGTGTTTCTGCACTACCTTCCTGCCTGGTAGTACAGACTGATGTTGACAACTGAAGGGAGTAAGCAACAACAGTTCTGTGGTTGGTGCCCTTCTTGACAGAGTGTGCAAGGCTCTGTGTAAATTCTCATTCATCTCTGTATAGGCTCACTTTCTTTGGGTGCTCATCTCTCATTCTCTCCTAAAGTTCTAAGCAGCCTTATAACAGCATCATAGAAACAATTACATAGAAAAGAATGTTCAGATTCCATTAGATATCCTTGAGGCCACTCTTGGGCTGTGAGTGACATTTTTGAACAACTCACATCCTGTTACTCTGGCGTAGACCCCCAGCTTTTACTCTACCTGCCATTGCCAGGTTGGTGTCCTGAGGCAAGTGAGACATCATAGATCTTTTCCTGGGGGTGGAGAGTGCACCCAAATCAGCCATCCTAGCAGTTCAGGCCCAGAATCTGGTGATGGCTCACGTCCGTTGACCCCTGGGTGTTTGAACACCAAGTGAGTCATGCTTGACTCAGCTTCTCTGAGCCAAAGAGATTCAATTTTCCCATCACCCACTGGCCCTTGAGGCTGTCCAGGCATGTGGGGTCATAAGCAAAGAAGCATGTGGCACCCTGCCAAGTGGCAGGTTTGTTCTCTCATTGCCACTTACAGGGACATGTGGCAGTGGCTGCCATCTCGCAGGAGTAGGGGAAAAAGAGATAGAGAAGAGAAGTTGGAGAAATAAGATAAATGGAATTACCTTGTTGAAACCTTTGGTGACCAAATTGATTGCAAGTTCATGGCTGATCCCGTCTACCCAGACAACATCTTTTTCTCCAATGGGTTCAGAGAGAAAAGCTCTCAACCTGGGAGACATGTGATCCATTTTCTGCAATAGCAACAGAGGAAAAGGGTTAAGAAGCATCTGGCCGCTTACAGTGTGAGTGGACATTGGGGAACTCCCTCAGCCTACCAAGGGGCTAGGTAGGTCAGATGGCAGGTTTCCTCTCATCTTCCAAATTTATTCAGGTGCCATGCCCAGCCCTGAAGGCCTTTATGCATCCATTACCACATCCATTTCTTAGTCTGAATGGACTAAGAGGTGTCTAGTGATGGCCACAGATGAGTCCAATAAAACCCCACAAAAAGGGTGTATTTAATACTAAGAATTGAAATAATCCTTTCCAACTCTTTCCATCTTAAATGCTTAAAGAAACATTGCTTCTCTTAGCTAATTAACCTACTTTCTCTATCACCCAATACCTTTTCATATTTTTATTTTTAGCATCTATCACACTCTACAATAATTGATTGTTTGGTTACAAGTAACATAAAACTCTTTAACTGGATCAAATATTAAAGAAGACAGTATGACAAAAGCCCAAGGGAAAAGGTAGATATGGTACAATCAGGTCACGGCTTAATTTCTCTCATTCTTTTGATTTTTCTTCTTGTGTTTGCTTCAGTCTTGGTTGTTTCCTTTCCTGGTGGTGAAATGGCTGCTCCAACACTTATATTCCTCAGCAATGGTACCCCAAAAAAAGAAGGAAAGAGAGAAAACGAGTCTCTGAGGAGTTCCAAGCAGAGCCTCATTCAGTCTAAAAGGTCTTCATGGAGTCACTGTGCAAGCTTAATGTTAGCTGTATGCCCCAGTCCTAGACCTGGGAGTGCAGATGGCTTTCTCTAAGACACCTGTGAGCTGTGAATTCAAGCATAGTTACCTGAACAAAATTAGGATTATTATTCAGAATTGGGGAGATGTAACCATAACATCCCACTAAGATGCACCTTTTTGTTGAACCAACATTCATACTTTCCTTCCTTGCATAATCTTCAGAAGTACCCACACTTGGTGGTTAAAAGAGACTCATCCCCTTTCTCAAAGGGTGAAGTCCTATGATTCAGCCAGTTACTGGATTCAATTCAAGTTCACATTTTATGCAAGATGCATCATACTCTTCATCATGGCAGAAAGTAGCTACTCATGGAATGGTAACCTATAAATTAAATTCTGAAGTTCACCACCATCAGCATAGCCAGCAATGCCAAGAAAAACCCAAAATATCTGCAGTAAGCTTTCCCAGAATGGGAATTCTTCATTTGTAGAAAGGAGGAATGGGAAACATGTCCAGTTGCTGTTGGTCAATAGTACATACAATATTGAGGAAATAATGAGGATTCCTTGTCCTGGTGGTAAAGCAAGTTCCTCAGTCAAACAAGATGGCAGCTCCCAGTTCTGGGTTTCAGTCTGTCTCCTCTGTCTACTGCCTTGCTAAAATCTGAGTTGGCATGGGGTTGATGCCTTCCAAGGAGAGTCACTATTTTAACACCTCATTTCTTCCAGGTACAAGTTCAGAGATTGTCCTGAGCCATGGGCAATCTCGGGCCATAGTTGGCCACTTTCTTTGACAATTCAGCCTCCTTAAGAATTTAGTAGGTTTCTTCTATGAAAGTTCATGGGCTGGTAGTTCAAGCTTAGAGACTGACCTCAGTATCGTTGATCTAGCAACTGGTCTCTGTGCTTTACCCATTGCCCTGCTCCTCAGATTAGTGGCATCTGAAGTGGGGAGGTACCCCAAATTTGTTTCTTGCCCCCCATCTGTATCCCAGCTGTATCTTCACAATAAGTCAATTGTCCCCTTTATCAAGTTTAACATCTTTAGGACAAGATGCTTGGAAGAGACACGGGAACTGGGGCATGTTTTTCTGGTGCTCCAGTCATTTTCTTTTGCTAAGTCACCCACCTTGTCACCTATATTCTAAATCTAGCCAGTAAAATCAGTTTTCCAACTAAGAAGGACTTGCTCATCAATGTCCAGTCACTTTAGATTGCAGGCCACAGGCAGAAAGGCCCTCTCTTAGTAAAGCTGTATTTTCATCCTTCTCTACTCTCAAATGGGCCACCTTTTTGTGAGAAAACTCCCCCTAAATGTGTTTTCTAAATTCTAGAACCTTGATGAAGAGTACCAGAAGTAGTCAACATCCTGAATATTTCCCATCAGCTCTCCAAAGGTTATGTCTCCATATTCAGAAGGCCTGTTATCCCAGGATACAACAGTCCCACCATGCCAGTCATTTTTCTAAACCAGCATCTTCGTCTTCCTAGTTTGAGTAAAGACACCTTTCTGCTCTCTGCATGAACATCTTTTCTCAGCTAACCCACATTTAAGGTTTGCTCATTGTTACATCTTCTTAGTTAATGATACAAGAAACTGAAAATCCAGTTCAAACTAGCTTACAGAGTAGGAGGCTTTATTAGTATAAGCTACTCAAAAGTCCAGAGGTGAATCACATGAGGTTTCATCAAAACTTCAGCTTGATTTCCCTGTAACACTGTTGACTCAAACTTTCTTTACATATTGGCTCAATCCTCAGCTTGATGCTTCATGGAAATAATAGTGCTGCGGTAGGGCCTGTCACAGTTTTTGCAAGCTACACCACCCTCAAAGGAAAACACGTTTTTCCTAGAAGCCACCGGCAAGTGCTTTCTTCAGTCCAAATCTCCATATACCAGGCTCTAAAACATTATCTATGGCCTAATACAAGTGTCCTACATCTGGTTCAGGAAGTGAGCATGTCACCTGCAGAGCACATAGGCTGTAGGGTGGGAATGGAGCACAAGATTGGGGGAGTTGCCACGTTACTGGGGGTACTTACCTTACACCACAATAGAGGACAGGGTTAGGAGAGCAACCCAGTGTCTACCACATATTCCCCAGTAGATCGTGAGGCCCCAAGGACCACAGCTGCCTCTAATGGCCTTGGGTCCCCACCAGAGTCCCGGCCCGTGGCCCCAATGGCTAGTACAGAGCCTTACACATGGTAAGCACTTGATGACATAAATGACCTATGCATCCATGCATTCAAATGCCTCTTTCACAGCACTAGTCCCCTTGCCTGTCTCACACTTCCAATTCTCCAGACCTTTCTGTAAAGTCCAGCTCCCTCTGTAAGTCTTCCTGCCCCCAGATGTTTTGAGACACTTCAGAGGAAACTAAACTGTCAAGAAGTACTGGTTCTGAAGGCACTGATTTTAGGAGCCAGGTGGCACCTAGGGAAGGTGGTCTCAATGTGTTGGCTGATTCTAGGAAAGAAAACATAAAGCAAGAGAAGTTGTCCAGGGTCCCTTCTGTGCATCTCAAATACACAAATGTGTGTGAACTGCAAATATATTATTATATAGAGAGCACTGACCTCTCTCTCTAGCAGCTAAAGATCCCTCTGTGAAAATATGTTAACAGGTGAACTCTGCAGCACCCATCACCTTGTGGACAGTGAATCAGGATTGGTGGCCCCGCTTGGGGGATGGAGGAGTAGGCAGGTAAGAGATCAGGATTTCTGAGTAGGATGAAGAGCCTGAGCATGCTGGCAGGGCTCCCCAACTCTGCTGAGGGAAAATTCCATTCACTATCCACGTTGGCCATCTGTTAAGTTAAACATCTTTGCCTATTACAAGAATAAATGGAAACTACAACATCGTTATCAGTGTAACAGCAGCATTAAAGACAGGTAATGATTAGCAACACCTTGTGTATGTTTGCTTTTCTCACACACCTGATCTCATTTTGTTCCTTGAAACACTCTGGAGAATGACTTTACCCTCCAAAGAACCGTCTGAATAAAGGGTCTTTGCATTTGTTAGGATGCCTTTGTCTGAGATGGTGGTTCTCAACTAGGGGCAAATTATAGCCCGCCCCTGCCCCCAATACCATTTCGCAGTGTGTCTGGGGACACTTTTGGTCGTCACAGCTGAGGGAGGGGAAGTGTGATTGGCATCTAATGCACAGAGGTCAGGGATGTTAATGAATATCCTATAATGCACCCCACAGCCCCCTACCTCTGAAGAATTATTCTGTCCCTGTATCCATAGAGTTAAGTCTGATAAACCCTTGGCTACAAGTAACAGAAACTCTTGTTAAAACAGTTAAACAATAAATACATTTCTAATCTCACATAAGAAGAAATTTGCTGGTGAGGTGGATGGAGGATTTTGTCAGTCAGTGGCTCTGTGTTATCAAGAACCACCCTAGCTGCCCCCATGACCCCAAGATGCCTACATGGAGCCTTTCAAAGGAAGGAGAGGCCATTTCTTCTCGGTGTTCCCAGAACATCTTCAGCAGAACTTCCCTTAGTTTTATGGGCTAGAACCAGGCAACACACTCACCTATAAACCAGTTACTGGCCAGGGGAGTGGGACCCCACAGGATGTGATGAAGTCAGCCTCCTGAGCATGGGGTCACTCAGAGAATGTAAGATTCTGTAAAAATTAGGAACAGAGGAGGTTGTTGCTGGGTAGGCAAATAACCTAATGACCATGTCTACTATGTCTTCTAACCCTCCTCTATTATTCTCAAAGTTTAATGTGTGAACAGACCACATAGAGGTTCTGTTAAAAAATGTAGGTTTTTGATACAGCAGGTCTGGGATGGGGCCTGAGACGCTGCTTTTCCAACAAGCTCCAAATAAGATGCCAGCCCACAGATCACACTTTGACTAGTAAGGTATTACGTGATGCCACTTTTTAAAAAATTCTCACCTGAAGATATGTTTATTGATTTGAGAGAGAGAGGAAGGGAGAGAGAGAGACAGAAACATCAGTATGAGAGAGAAACATTGATCGGTTGGCTCCTGTATATGCCTGACTGGGGAAGGAACTCATAACCTATGCCCCAATGCTCCAATCAACTGAGCACCCACCCAAGGCTTATGCCACTTATTCTTTTTATGTTATTTTATATTTAAAATAAGCAGTCTCTCATTTGTGGAGAATACATTCCCATTTGTGGGGAATACATTCTAAGACCTCCAGTGGATGCCTGAAAGTGCGGATAGTACTGAACCCTACAACATACTACAGTGATTTTCAATGGGTGTGCTGCAAAAAAATTT